GTTTTCTTTTACGTTGTGCGAACACAATGGAAATTCGGAGAAAGTGTTTTGTGATAGAAGAAAGAAAAACAAAAAAAAAGACAGAAATGCAGCTACAGACAAAAGTTGCTGAACCGAGAAACGTAAACGTAAATAAACCTGTCCGGCCAACTATTTAAAGTAACCACTTGTATAAACGTATCGTAATGTACGCTTTATGGCCGCCAATGATGTCTTTGAGGATGTCGTCAATATGGGATGTCGATTACCTACCGGTTTCTGCTGTTTCTTCACAAAACAGCCACAGCAACAACAACAACACCAACAAGTAGCTGTATGACGGGGTTACATGTAATTGATGTTGCAGCGTCCAACTCTCTTCAGTTGGAATATTGTCAATACACGTTCTGCAACATGTCCATATAAATTCAATATCGTAATCCGCGAGATGTTAATCAATCTGTAACAGATCTCATAAATATTCCATTTCATAAGCATTGTCAGATCGATTATAAAAATCTTCTACTCGAAGTCGACATCCATGTGGATTGATATCGCAATTGTGACAACGTTATCAATTGACTTTTTTTTAATTTTCCAATTCACAGTGGAGAGCAAAGAAGTGGGTGAGATTTGTTGCCTTATATAAGCTGGAACAAAAATAAAGGATGCATGGACATTGTTATTCATTGCTTCCTCAGCCATATGGCTACAAAGGGAAAATATCATTTGATACGGCCAAAAGAAGCCTCATCGAAATGGCGGCGATTTCTCTTTGAACAAATCCGTTTCAGGACATTTGCAGTCGATCTAGGAGTGTCCGTCCGCCTGTCTGGCTGGTGCGAACTATAACTCTTGAAGGGAGTTTGATCTAAAGATGGGCAATATCGGTTCACTGCTTCTGGTACCTCCCCCACAAAAGGAGAACATTTTCGCAGTGAAAACTTTATCTTGTAGAACAATAAAATTTCATCCAGTTTGGTGCAAACTTTCCAAATCCCAATACATATTTGTATAAGTGCTATGCCAGATGGTAAAATGAACAATATCGTCCCGCTCCCTAATTTACCTCCCCACAAAAGGGTTAAAATTTTGAGTAATTATAACTCTCATAAAATTCGAAATTAGCATCACATTCTCTTTTAAATTTCATACATTTCAACATTTTTATAACACAAGATCTGATGTGAAGATGGGATATATAGGTCCACTATATCTGGTACCTCCCACAAGAATCAAATCCCCCCCTTCCCAAGGATAATAATATTTCTACTAACATAACAATAATAATATTATTTATACTAACACCTCTTCTGGTACCTCCCCCACAACGGGTCAAAATTCTGAAGAATTATGACTCTTATGAAACGCGGAATGAGCACTCGATTCTCCTCAAATGTTGACACATCCCAATATTTATGCCCTACACCACATAGTGGTAAGGGTATTGTGCATTTGTTTGTAACATGGAGATTGAAGCGAGATAGACCCATAGTTACTATTGAGGATCTTCACAGAATCACTTTCTGAGTCGATTCATGCATGTCAGTCCGACTGTCTGTCCATGTATTCTTGTGAATAAAATGTAAGACGCATTTATTATCCGATTGAGATGAAATTTTCCAAACAATATTTGTTTGGCCCAAGGCCGAACTCTATTGAAATTGGTGATAATCGGATCAGATTTAGACATAGCTCCCAAATATCTTCAATCGATTTAGGGTTAATTGTGCACCAAATGGCCAATATCAGTCCGAATGACCTGAATTTTGGCACATCTGATCGAATTCAGTCTAGAAGCAAGTGCATCAAATCTGGTGATAATCGGTTCAGATATAGCTATTGCTCCCATATAGAGGTTTCGTCCGATTTGGTGTTTAATTTCTCCATATTCGTAGTATGCACCACACAAGAATGATACCTGATATTAGATATAGCCCAGAAATACTTCTGCCAAATTGTATCTAGATCGGTTCAGATTTGGATATAGCTCCCATATATAACTTTAACCGATTTCGGATTAATTGTGCACCAAAAGGCCAATATCAGTCCAAATGACCTGAATTTTGGTACAAGTTTTGAAGGACTGTATTGCATTATTTCAAAAAGTATATTGAAATGGGTTTAGACCTAAGTAGGTTCTCCAATATATTTTGGAGTTGTATGGTATCACATGGTCGGTCCGCACGACTATTGCCTTTGCTTACTCGTTTTACGGTTAGGCCAGTGATGTTTAGCAAAGGCGTGTTGTTAAATAAATATCCGAATCTAAACATGTTTCAATATAAACTGATAACTATTCTTTCAGATCAAATTCCGCTACACATTCCAAACTTCATTGTAATTTGACATACATAGCGTTTTTGGTGTATTAAATACATGTAATTAGCCGAAAAAATTATATTGTACAATATCCAAATCTGAACCGATTTGAATAATACTTGACAAATTTATTTTTAGGCTAAATTGGAGATGTATAGAGAATTTGACTCATCAGACACATGAAACCGGCCGAAAATATATATGAGGACTATAACCAAATCTGAACCGATTTTGATATAATTTGGCAAATTTCTTTTTGTAGCAAATTCCGTTACACATTCCGAATTTGAAGACTGCATCTGTAGTCGATTAGTAGATATGTGCATACAAAATATAATTTTTTTGGAGATACCTCCGATTCCGATGCTATATTTCCAGTTCCAAGTGATATTTCAAACATATACTGGGTGATATAAAAAACAAAACTGCAGCAAAGTCAAACGCCATAATTTTTACATTTTTTTATTTTATTGAATGAAAACAAAAAATGTCGGAAAGTGTATCAAATTTTAGAATAAGTTTAGATTTTTTCGAATGGATCGACTTTGGAACGAACTATGGCCTTCAAACGGTCAATAAAACCATCACACGCTGCCCGAATGTTGCTCTGCGGTATTTTGGCCCATTCTCGGCGAAGCGCTTGCTTGAGGTGATCGACACTTTGGTATTTTTAGTGCCAAACTTGCTTTCCAAAATACTCCAGACACAATAGTCCAACGGATTGGTATCCGGAGATTTTGGTGGCTATTGTGCGCTGGAAAGGAAGCGAGGAACCTTATTTTGTAACCATTCTTGGGGGGAGCTGAGTGTGATGGTGCTGAGTCCTGTTGGAATGTCCAAGGTCTGCGTGCCCAAAACTTTAATACACCCTCCATAATATTTTTGGGATAATATTCGGCATTTAATGAGATGCCACGGTCGATTAATACGAGCGGAGAGCTACGAATGGCTGTTATAGCGGCCCACACAATACTTTTCGAACCATTTCTTTTGCTGTTCTTGACGTCGGGCTACGCTACCAGTATCACGGTAACGAGCGATGGTAAATGCTGGAGTGCTCTAACGATAGCCACTTTTGGTTTTTCAGCCAAATATAAAGAAATCAAGCTTGAATTCCATTACGAATAATTTTTCTTTTTTCTGGGAATTCTCACCAAAATGCTTTTGTACTCTTGTAAACAATTCTAACAGCTGTCGGACGAGTGGCTGAGAAATGATAGCAGTCTGAAATTGGTGGCAGTTTTTTCATCTCACCCTGCATATGCCTATGTTACTTTCAGGAAATTTTTAGGAACATCTGTTTAGCGATTCGTGGGTCAATAAATTAAAAACAAAAAATGAGGCGTACAAAAAGGTTCTTTTTTTTATAGATTTGAAAGATAGAAGCAAGGAAATATGATTTTTCGATAATCTTCGCTGCTTGTTATTTATATGATAAACCAGTAGTCCTAAAGTCGGGCGGGGCCGATTTTATGATACCCTACACCACTTTGCTAATTTAGTTGAGCTCCACTTAATAATTAAAAGTTTTTATGGGAGAATTCAATCATACACGCAATGATTATAATTATAATTTAAAATTCAAAGGACTAAATATACCGAAGCATTTGTGTCTTTTAAATTCGGACTTGTATTGCCCATTTGGTGCACAATTAATTTGAAATCGGATAAAAATATATATGGGAACTATATCCAGATCTCAACCGATCTCGATAAAATCTAGTATTTCTGAGCTGTATTTGATATATGTCCCCAAATTTTGTTGTTACAGATTGCATATTACGGCTGCGGAGGACAAAAATATTAAATCGGATGAACAATATATATGGGAGCTATAGCTATATCTGAACCGATCTTCACCAAATTTGGCACACCACATATATGGGAGCTATAGCTATATCTGAAACGATCTTCACCAAATTTAGCATACAAGCTTCTAGACTCAATTCGGTCTTACGTGCCAAATTTTATCCCAGTTGGGCAAATATTAGACGTTTGGTGCACAATAAAAATTAAATCGGACCTTCGTCCGAGCTATATCCAAATCTGAACCGATCTCAATAAAATTTGGCAAAGGTATTTCTGGGCTGTATTTGATATATTTCCCCAAATATTGTTGTTATAGAGTGCATATTACGGCTGCGGAGGGCTAAAATAACAGATCAGATGAACAATTTATATGGGAGCTATAGCTATATCTGAACCGATTTCGATCAAATTTGGAATACTTATATCTAGGCCTAATTTGGTTGTATGTGCAAAATGTCATACCATTTCGGCTGATATTACACAATTGGTGCACAATAAAAGGCAAATCGGACGAAGATATATATGGGAGCTATATCTAAATTTTGACCCATTATCTTCATTTGGAATAGGGTTCGTCCTTGGACCAAACAAATGATTTATGCAAAATTTCATCTGGATAGGGCAATAAATGCGACCTGCATTTTGTTCACAAAAATACATGGACAGACGGACGGACGGATAGACGGACTGACATGCATAAATCAACTCAGAAAGTGATTCTATGGATATCCTCAAAAGTAACTATGGGTCTATCTCGCTTCCTTCTCCATGTTACAAACAAATGCACAAAGACATAATACCCTTACCACTATGTGGTGTAGGGTATAAAAATTAAATATACTCGTTTCTCATCCACTTAAAAATAAATATCTTACAAAACACCAGCTTACCGTCAATCTTATCTGTTGAATTTTTCTCTGATGCTCCAGTAACCGTATCATAATCCTTTAAATCCTTAACTGGTAGTGGTATAGATATTCCAACATTGAGCAGGAAATGTACAAGGAAGATTAAATGTACTTGGAATCTCATTATTTATTTATTTTTTTTTTTTTAATTTAATATTTCTCTTTCTGTTATTATTTCAAAATTACTAAATAATTATTTAATTTTTTGAGTTATAATAAGAAATTGTTATGCAATAACTTTTATCTTTTAATGTTTTATTTTTTTTTTTTTTTTTTTTTTTTGTTTGCTTTGCTTTTTATTTCTTTTTTTTTGAATTTTCAAAAAACACTGCAATATTTGTTTCCGCTTTACACACTGGACACGATTAAAATTTTAACATCCTGCTTTACAAGTTTTCCACCAAAAATTTGCTGCGGTTATTAAGGCGCACAAGCCAGACGGACACAAAACGAAAACAAAAACCCCAAACAAAACAAATAAACACGTCTCCGGATTATATGGCAGTGTATGACGAATAGATGAAAAATCCTCCGCTAACTTCTGACAGAGATTTGCAATACTGGGCCGATTGTTTTGCAATGAAAGTGAAAACTTGTTCGTCGTCAATCACTTGCACTTGAAGCCAAAGCCATCCGTTCAACTGTTTGGGTTCTAACGTAGAAAAATAGTTTTATACGATGAGACCAGACGAAACGAGACGAGACTAGACTAGGCGACGATACGAGACGAGTTATATTGTTGTAAAGTTTAATTACAGCAATAAGTCGTAATCGTAAACAAACAAAACGGAAAACATTAAAAGAAAGAGAACCGGTGGGTTGGTTGGTGTTTGGCCCACCAACCTACCAAGCTAAGAGAACGAGCGAATGAACAGCGCCTGTGTTCATTTTGTGATTTTAGCAAAATAAGAGATTGCGGGTTATCTAAGTGAAACAAAATATAACAATAAAGAGAGTGTGAGCTTTGCGGGTAGAATTCATGAATGAAAAGTTCATTTTGTAGGTGTACGTTGTTATGTTGAATTTCCATGTAACAGATGTTCGGGTGCTTAAGCACCTACCACTTACTTGGTTAAATAAAATACTAGATAGAGTATTTTCAAGTAGGATTTTTAAACCCTACACCACATAGTGGTAAGGGTATTATGTCTTTGTGCATTTGTTTGTAACATAGAGAAGGAAGCGAGATAGACTCATAGTTAGTTTTGAGGATCTCTATAAAATCACTTTCTGAGTTGATTTATGCATGTCAGTCAGTCCGTCCATCCGTCTGTCTGTCCATGTACCCTTGTGAACAAAATCCAGGTCTTATTAATTATCCGATTAAGATGAAATTTTGTAAACAACATTTGTTTGGCCCAAGGACGAACCCTATTGAAATTGGAGATAATCGGTAAACATTTAGATATAGCTCCCAAATATATCTTCATCCGATTTGCCTTTTATTGTGCACCAAACGTGTAATATCAACCCAAATAGTATGGAATTTTGCACATATAACCAAATTAGGCCTGAAAATAAGTATGCCAAATTTTATCGAAATCGGTTCAGATATAGCTACAGCTCCCATATATATTGTTTATCCGATTTGTTATTTTTGTCCTGCGCAGCCTGTAACAACAATATTTGGGGAAATATATCAAATGCAGCTCAGAAATACCTTTGCTAAATTTTATCGAGATCGGTTCAGATTTGAATATAGCTCCCATATATAACTTCGTCCGATCTACTTTTTATTGTCCACCAAACGTCTAATATTTGCCTAAAAGGGATGGAATTTCGCATATACGACGGAATTGAGTCTAGAAGCTAGTATGCCAAATTTGAAGATCGGTTCGGATATAGCTATAGCTCCCATATATATTGTTCATCCGATTTGTTATTTTTGTCCTCCGCAGCCGTAATATGCACTCTGTAACAACAATATTTGGGGAAATATATCAAATGAAGCTCAGAAATATCTTTGCTAAATTTTGTCGAAATCGGTTCCGATTTGGATATAGCTCCCATATATATTTTTATCCGATTTCAAATTAATTTTGCTCCAAATGGGCAATACATGTCCGAATTTAAAAGATACAAATACTTCGGCATATTTAGTTCTTTGAGCTTTAAATTATAATCATAGCGTATATGATTGAATTCTCCCATAAAAATTTTAATTTTTATGTGGAGCTCTACTAAATTAGCAAAGTGGTGTAGGGTATCATAAAGTCGGCCCCGCCGGACTTTAAGACGTTCTTTACTGGTTGTTTTGTCAACAAAATGCAGGACGTGTTTGTTATCCGATTGAGATCATTTTTTCCAAACAATATTTGTTTGGCCCAAGAACGAACCCTATTGAAATTGGTCATAATCGGATCAGATTAAGATATAGCTCTCATATATTTTTAACCGATTTCGGGTTATTTGTGCACCAAATAGTCAATATCAGTAGAATAGTCCTGAATTTTGGTACATCCGACCGAATTTAGTGTAGAAGCAAGTACGTCGAATTTGGAAAAAAATATAACTATAGCTCCCATATATATGTTTCATCCGATTTGCTGTTTTACCTCCCTCACATATACAGCCCAGAAATACTTTTGCTAAATTTCATCAAAATCGCTTGAGATTTGGATATAGCTCCCATATATGTCGGTTATCGGGTCAAAATAAGGTCAAAAGTCCTAAATTTTGGTACAACCCACCGAATTTAGGTTAGAAGCGAGTACATGACATTTGGAGAAAATCGGTTCAGACATAGCTGTAGCCCCCATATATATGTTTGATCCGATTTGATGATATTTGGTGCCAGATACCTTGTAGAGCTCGGAAATACCCCTGCCAAATTTTATCAACCGATTTCCGGTTAATTGTACACTAAATAGCCAATATCTGTCCAAAATTCCGGAATTTTGGTAAAGTTAAAATTTTGTTAAAAATATTAAAAATCTAAATCGATTTAGCCAAGATCCTATAATTGTACTTACGTGCATATAAGGTCCAAGCATTTTTATACCCTCATCCATATGGCTACAGAGGGTATATATATTATTTGATACGGCCTAAACTTGACTAATTGAAATAATCGTTTTAAACCCATGGTCTCTTCGGACGAAATCCATTTCAGGATATTGGAGTCGATTTAGCGGTGTTCGTCCGTCTGACTAGCTATTGTGCACGATAACTTTCGGAGGGAGTTTCCGATTTCGTCCCAACTTGGTACAAATTTCTAGAATATAATGGATCACCCATTCTTGTATCTCCCCCACAACGGGTCAAAATTTCGAATCCATATGGCTACGGCCTAAACTTGCCTAATTGAAATATTGGCTTTAAACGCAAGGTCTCTTCGGACAAAATCCATTTCAGGATATTGGAGTCGATCTGGCGGTGTTCGTCCGTCTGACAGACTGGTGTGCACGATATCTCTCGAAGGGAGTTTCCGATTTCGTCCCAACTTGGTACAAGTTTCGTCCCAACTTGGTACAAGATAATGAATATAATGGACCACTCATTCTGGTACCTTCCCCACAACGGCCCAAAATTTCACATCACCATGACACTCAAAACAAAAACCCATTTTTTCCAAGCCCTACGCATCCTAATGATTCATGCACATTCCATCTCTACTAAAGACTACTCAGTATGCATGTAGCATAAATATTAGATTTATCGGACACTTCATCACACCCACAAAGGGTCAAAATGAGATGTATAAGTCCAATGTTGGAAATCCGAATGATTCGATTAACCTTGTTGGCATTGAAAAATGGGTCATATATGTGCACGTTTGTATAGCCACTATTAAGTGGTACCGCCGGACTTAAAGTTTCGAACCGAATTCACAGCAAATTTGCAGTTTGTGTCTCCAGAGGGTTAGAAACATATATGCAATAAACTGCATACGTAGGTCCAAAAATGTGTCTGCCGATATTCGGTATTTTATTGATTTTGTAAACTTTCACCGGTATTGTTTTATGTCTGGAAAGGTGGTATTGAGGGAGTCCGGACCAAAGAAGTCTTTTAGGATGGTCTCTAAGCTCCCAAAACCGGCAAAGTTGAGTTTAAATCAACGGAAACACAGAACACTTAAATGGCTGCGGGAAGAAGAAGAAATCGAAGTCTTCTAAGCCCTTCAAACCATCTTAGCCGATCCTTTCAGTCGATTCATCGAAAACGGGACAGGTGGTTAAAAATGACAATGACAGAGTCAACTACAAAAAACGCTACAATATCGAAAGAAGCAACCTCAAAGGCGACAAAGTACCCCTTTCCACCAATGCCTTTGAAGAGGATGCGGTTAACTGAGAAGCAAAAACTCAAGGCGAAGAAAGTGGAAACGACTCAGACCGTAAAAAATTCCGTCTCGTATGCTTCAGCTGTGGATTATACTGGAGGAAATTAGAGTAGCGGTCATTGTTCGGACTGACCCAATGGGTACATATAAGTACGTCAGCGAAGATCATTGGCTGGCTGATCAACGGGAAGACCAGGTACTTATGCCTGTCAGAATTTTCCGAACTACAATCTATATGGGAGTCAGAGACTTTATCTGCGATAATAGGGAATAACTAAACTTTCTAATTCTCGCAGTTCAAGTTTTGTATCTAATCTAATAATACTAATACTTCCTTCCGATTTCATTAAATGAGACATCACCACAGTAAGTTAACCACTACTGTATCCTCAATCTATAAAAAATTACGAAGACCCAGTCCCACTACAGAAAGATATCCTGGACCTACCAACAGAAATGGGCAGTACATGCGACTTCATCCTTGGTTGAGACGCAAACGCCGATCACTTTTACTGGGGAAGCAGTGATACGAAGGTTAACGATGAATCGACATTCAATTTTATTTTCAAAAACAATCTTAGAAATGGCAAGTTATCTAAAAAGTGTTTTTTCTCAGATCGCAATGATTATATTTTTAGGTGGCGAAATGCGATGTCAGACAGAAGTCTTATAGGAATCCAAGAAGAACGAACTGGCCCAAATTTAAATCTTTTATCTAAATAATGTCGAGAGAGCATTGAATGTTGTCATAAATGTTCTTCGTTCAAGTTATGAAAAATCTTGTTCAATCTCCCAGCCTGTTTAGCAGACTAAGGACCTGCTTCACAGGTCATATGACCGGGCCAGAAAATAAAACTTAGTACTGATTGG